CTCTCTCTCTCTCTCTCTCTCTCTCTCTCTCTCTCTCTTTTTTTACGTACGTATGTATCGAGAGATATGTAGGCATAAGTGTGTATGTATTTGACATGACTTCTGCTCCCCGGTCTTGCCTCGCTGCACTTGGGTCCTCCGTGCTCCACGATGCAAACCTCAAACCCTGACATGCCCGTTCCTAAATTTAAAAAAATATATATAGATATATTTTCAAATCTAAGCTTTGATCAGCAAATCTGTTTCTGCTCATCGAAAAACATGAACCGTTTGTTTTGCATTTGGTTTCCTTACTGTCGCCAAAGCGAACGGAGCCACCAACTTCAATCCGAGTAAGCCACTGAGCCATTTGGCATCGCGTTAATACGCCTCGCACCAAAAACAAGTTGGACGCTAAAGGATCATGGACACGTCAACTATTTATGGAGGCTTAGTCCACGAACTGCGCGCATAACAAATATTTGCTCTCATTCAAAACCAACAGGAAGGCGATTAAGCGGGGCTAATGTCGGGGTTGGCTGACTTAAATGGAGAAAAATCCAATCACATTGTAGCCGTCCGGAGGGAGGGCCGGCTTTGCTTTTAGGGGAGGTGGGAACGACCTCTTCTTATTACTCTTGCTTTTTCCCCGACACCTAATTCCACGGTGAGCGGATTTTCTATGGGGTCTGAGAAAAGGAAGGAGACATGCTTGCTGTTCAAGTATGTCCTTGTAATTAGCTGAGTATTAGTGGCGCTCACAATACAACGGCACTGAGAAGGGAAGCCCCCCTTTCACGCTCGACTCATTTCCTGAGCCCGCTCCCCGCTGCTCGCTGGTGCTCGTGCACGCACGCACTACGCCCAAGAGCTCCCCTTCAATCCCTGTTCTGCTTAAAGCTGCATGGTGGTTTACTGAAGGGACTTTTTCAGTGTGTGTGTGTGTGTGTGTGTGTGTGTGTGTGAGGGGGGGGGGGCAGTTTCAGGGCGTCAGGTTGCATTCAGTGCTAAAACGTCCCAGAGTGCATGAGGACAAGCCGGCGACGACAGGCGACTCCTTGCCCCTCGTCGTTTTGGCCTCCGGAGAAAAATCAATTACTTTCAATTAAGTCAAGCGGCCCAACTCTTTCTCAATGCGCCCTCGAGCCTTCGACACTGCCGCACTCGAGAGCTTTACTTCAAGTGCACGATGCCGCGCTCGCCGACGCGTGCGCGCGGAAAAACGCGCTTTTGATTCTTGGATGACAAATGACCCCTTTGGACCCTCGCACGACGGTCATCTTGGTCATCGTCCAACGGGCTTGCGGAGGGTTGGACAACGTCCGCTCAATTCCCAGGTGAAGTGAACTAGGGGGGATTTTGAAAATAGCATCTTCCTGATGGCTTCCCCCCCCCCGCCCCGCCCCCACACCGACCAAAGTATGACAGAACGAGAGCATCCGATGGCGGATATCTATGGTTTCAAAATCTTCCCTCCCTCACCCAAGTATTCCAAAGACCGGCGGCGGCTGTTGGAACACTTCCACGTGGGAAGACCAGACTGCGCGAGCACAACCGCATCCGTGAATTCCAGTGAGCGATTCCAACCTGGTCACAGTCAGGCATGTGATCTTTGACTCGAGTCAGCCCAAAGCCCCACCCGCTGCGGTCTTCTTAGCCTTGCAAAGTCAACATCGGCTCACCACCTCAAACAGTCACGCAAAAAAACTCCCCAAAAAAAAAACACCAACACAGGGTGTATTCTTAGTGGTCCGAACCCTCGGGGAAAGACGTACGTGTCGGCGCGTTGACTGGACCCGGTCCGAGAGTGCGGGCAGGGGCGGGGAAGGCGTGGAATCTCCGACCCTGAGATCAAAACCACGGGGCCTCCGTTCACCAAACGTCAAACTGAGATGAGCGGCTCCAAAACGCACGTGAACGGTGCCACAGCGGAACCGAGCGGGCCGAGTCGAACGGGGCCGTTCCACTCTCCATCGCCCGCGAGCGCGCCTCCTCGTCTGCGCGCCATTCACGCAAGTGAAACCATCGACTCCGGCCTATTGTCGGCTAAGACGTCACATATTGTTCACGTACGCGCTCGGCGGCGGCGCAAACACAAAAGCGCGGAGGGGAGAGAAAGAGAGCGACTGGGTCGCGTCGGCGGGGGGGTTAGCGATTTAAAGCCGAGTCGGCGTTTTAGGGCCGGCGGGCCTAATCCGGCCGGCCTTTGGAGTCCGCTATTGAACAGGACAAGGACCCCGAAGGATCCGGGCTTGTCCGCACCTCAGGGGTGAGGGATTAGCGAGACGGCGAGGGGAAGGTGGCCGAGGTGCACCAGATGCGTTGGTGG